ATATATTCATCTCTTTTTCTCTAAAGCATTTTTCACTAAGCACAGAAATCAGAGAATGGCTGAAGACCAATCGGTGGTTGGAAGGCGGCGTATTTACTATGATCAACATGGAAGTGAGGCACTTATTTGCAGTGACAGTGAGGAAGAGAATGCAGAAACAGAGGAAAAGAAGCATGATTTCTCTGAAGGAGAAGACAGAATTCTATGGTAGTTGGAATTTGATATTGAGATCATTTTGAAGTGAAATATGTAGTTTTACTATGATCTTGTAGAAAAATAATGTTACCAGTATAATATGTGAATATCTGGGATCTGTCTACTAAATAGATCTTTTGTTATTTGTTGTTGGATTCTTATTGGCTATATATTTGTTGTTCTCAGCTTTATATCAGTTAGTGATAGATTTTTAGAGTTACAAGACGGAAGGATGAAACTAAGCTCAATGGCTGAACTTTCGTATTATACAATAAAACACTGTTTTGGTCATAAAACAAATTTATAGTATCTAATTTGCGGAGCATTTCATGATAATCTGTGTTGATTTATCAAACTATGTTGCTTGTTCAATGTGAGAATATTTGTGTTTGGATTTCCTGTAAAATTTGCACCTTGGAATTTTATAAGGGCAAGCTTTTTAATTTTTTATTTCAACTTTTTCTTTTTCTTTTATTTTTGCTGCTGATCTCTGGTCTTTAGCATTATTTTCTGCTTATGCTGGATTGGGATTTTGTAGGATGGTTTTTCAAGAGTTTGGGTTAAGTGAAAAGGTCCTTAACATCTTGACACAATTTATTGGGGGCTCCACTTCTGAAATCCAGGTAATCTGAGTGAGTTGCTTCTCAACATGGATTTCTCTTAGCCCTCTTGGGCTTTTGTTTGACTTCTCAAAGTGGAAGTCAATATCTGTACTTTCTAAGAACTATACATGCACCCCTCTTGTTTATCTGCTCCATGTTATTGTGACACTCAGGACCGCTGCAGTATACTTGAAGGAAAATATACTGAAACAGAGCAAAATTTAAAAGATTTTGGGGAAAAAGGATCTGAAAGGAACTTACTCCTTGAGAAAAGTCTTAGCACTGCCTTGGATTCTTTTGATAATCTTTTCTGTCGTCGTTGTTTGGTATGTCATAGAAGTGCAGTATCAAATTTGTTACTGCATGAACTACTATATATTCAGTTTAAATTGCCCAACTGCTTATAACTTCTATTTGGCATCCAGGTGTTTGATTGCCGTCTACATGGTTGTTCTCAAGTTCTCATTGATGCTGTATGTGGGTCCCTCTTCCACATCTTATTTGTAATTTTTATTTTTTTTCATTTAACAAGTCTGAAAAATATTTCACCTGTCAGAGTGAGAAGCAGTTATACTCTTCTGACAATGAAGTTCGCGGCAAACCTTGCAGTGACCAGTGCTATCTTCAGGTTTGGCTTATTGTTATTATTTATGTATGCTATTCATTGTAACAAGATTTAAAAAAAAAAAAAAATTATAATGGAAAAAATGGAACTGTCTTGCGGTGGTTGGGAAATTTCTCTACCTACAAATTATAAGAAGAGAGATTGAAATGTGAGTGGAACGTTTTGGAACAGAAGGGTGTTATGGAGTACTACCTAGAGGAAATGAGTAAATGACCTAGGAATGCTAGTGATGCAATGTATCTTAATTGGCTCTTCCTAAGCAACTGCTTTTACTTCACTCCACTGCACAGTCTACTTTATTGACATAGCTTTGCAACTCTTCATGGGGGAATACCTCTCTCTGTTCTTTTTAGTTAAAAGCTTCCAAACACCTGCATGGAGATCAAGCCACAGATCTACCGAGTGGATCTGAAAGCAAGATTTTAGAAGAATCTAGGAGTTTGGTCAATCTCAATACCAGAGAGCAAGGTAGAAGTGAAAATCGTGATTCTTTTAATGAAAGCGAGTTGCCTTCCCTTTCTCCCCCCTCTAAATATTTTCTTGTTTGTGTATGAAAGTTTAAGGTTGCCACCTGATCGTTGACTCAGGTATCTACTTGTCATATTAGGTGAACATACCGACAGCAATTTGAAGCGTAAAGCATTAGAACCCACATACATAATTCCAGAAAATGAGAAACTGGTTTCTGATGAACTACAGGATTCTTGCAATAAGAAACTAAAGTTGTCAGTTCCTAGTGTTGTTAGCCTGCCCGCAGAATGTGTATCTGATATAAATGAGCCGAAGGTGATCACTGATGATGTTGATGAGTCACATAAGCATTCGTCAGAGTCTAGTTGTCTTCTAAGTATTTCTGGAGACAATACTGAGGCCAATGAGAGAATTGAAGAAGCAGCAACTGATGACACTCCTAACAGGAATCGACGTTCCAGTTTTAGAAGAATACTTGGTAAAGGCTTGCTTGGGATCTCTGACTGGAAACCACTTGAGAAAGAATTATATTTGAAGGGTGTTGAGATATTTGGCAGAAACAGGCAAGTGTTCTGAATTGTCATTCATTCATCTTTTCTTTTTCCTTGGATTTGTCTAAAAACAGTATGTTTTTGTGCTTTCTAATATCTCCAGCATTTTAAGAAAATAATTAAATCAAAATGGAATTACTTGCCTCATTGACAATAGCTCAGCTGAATAGTTTACAATATTCTTTCTTTTTAGTTATCATGTCTATTATCTGGGCTTCAGACTCCAGCATGGACTCAATTAATTTAAATAGTAGTTTCTTAATGGTGTTTTGCCTTTATTGAAGTTTGAAATCATGCAGTTTGATAACTTTCCAAATAATAATTTTAAAAAATCATGTAGTTGACTTGAGCATAATTATTATGATTTGCAGCTGCCTCATAGCCAGGAACTTACTCCCTGGCTTGAAAACTTGTATCGAAGTATCAAGTTACATGTGCAATGATGGAGCAGCAACACACCATGGATCATCTGGCATTTCATGCTTCTTTCCTGGAGGCAATGGGAAAGCTCTAATGGATCGAATGGTTTGTGATCTTCTCTTTCTGCTCCCTCTTTTTATGGTCAAGGCAAGTCTTTCAGATTAGTAAATTTTAAAACAACTTAAATATATATTGGTTAGGAGTCAGATATGCCAGGTAGATCTCGTTTGCTTCGTAGAAGAGGGAGAAGTCGGAAGCTCAAGTATTCATCAAAGTCTGCTGGTCATCCATCAATGTGGAGAAGAATTGCAGATGGGAAAAATCAGTCCTGTAAACAATATACTCCATGTGGATGCCAATTTATGTGTGGAAAGCAATGCCCTTGTTTACAGAACAGTACTTGCTGTGAAAAATATTGTGGGTATGTTTAGCATACATACTTGTTGCTCGTGTTGCTTTACACTCTTCTTGTTTGTTTAATGAAGCCTTACCTAGTTTGTTTTACTTAAGAGAGAGAGAGAGAGAGAGTGCGCATTATTCATGTAGTGGACATTTCAGGTGTTCAAAAAGCTGTAAAAATCGGTTCCGTGGGTGCCACTGTGCAAAGAGTCAATGCAGAAGTCGGCAATGCCCATGCTTTGCTGCTGGACGAGAATGTGATCCAGATGTTTGCCGAAATTGTTGGGTTAGGTAATGAATGACAATGGAAGACAGATAAAAATTAAAAAAAAAAAAAAAAAAAAAAAAAATGGATGTAGTAGTCGTCTTTCTTTATCCACTGTTGATCATCATTTCTCTTGTACATTGGTGATTGATATTTTTCGATTTTGAATGTGCAGCTGTGGGGATGCTTCACTGGGTGAACCGCCTAGGCAAGGAGATGGTCAGTGTGGTAACATGAGGCTGCTTCTGAGGCAGCAACAACGGGTGACTCATACATACATACATACATACATACATACGTATATGTGAGATGTTTGATTTACATATATTTCTTTGACTATATATCTTCATCCTTTTTGTTCTAAATCTTGACACAGATCCTCTTGGCAAAATCTGATGTAGCCGGATGGGGTGCCTTTCTGAAGGTACCACAACCCTTTCTCAACTCACCTTGCCACTCATTCCCATAATGTAGTCTGTTAAAGTAATATGTTACATTAAATTGCTGTAGAATCCTGTGAACAAAAATGATTACCTGGGAGAATATACAGGTGAGTTGATCTCACATCGAGAAGCAGATAAGCGTGGGAAAATCTATGACCGGGCAAATTCCTCCTTCCTTTTCGACTTGAATGACCAGGTTACTTTATATAATAGGGTTGATAAAAATCAGTGGATAAAGTAATGTATTCAGGTTAAAAATATATTAAGTTGGTGGGTTGATGCAGTTTGTGCTTGATGCGTACCGCAAAGGAGATAAGCTGAAATTTGCAAATCACTCGTCGAATCCAAACTGTTATGCCAAGGTTGGTTCATTAAGTAGTCTGTTGTGATATAAAATGTTGAAATGATCATAGCTGGACTGAATTTGAGGATGGTTTATATATGTATGTATGTATAGGTAATGCTGGTAGCGGGTGATCACCGAGTTGGCATATTTGCGAAGGATCGTATTGAAGCAGCTGAGGAGCTTTTCTACGATTACCGATATGGCCCTGATCAAGCGCCTATATGGGCACGTAAACCTGAGGACTTGAAAAGAGATGATTCTCCAGTGCCCCAAGGTCGACCAAAGAAGCATCACTCTCATTGAAACCATATATTTATTTATAGTTGCATTTAATGGGACACTCACTACTGTATGTTGTTTTCACAAGCAAGTCCCACTTTTTTTTTGTTTTTTTTAATGTTATTATTTATATATTTAGATATAAGCAATAATAAAGTGTAAACAAACTACTCAAGTTCATAGGAATAATAAGAAGAAGAAGATTGGCAATTATGTTAAAGTGTTAAACACAGCACTTGGTTTTGTTTTACCGTGTCAAATAATAGCAGTGTGGCATTTATCTGATTAAACATTGAGTGCAACGTGGACGCTTACAATAAGTAGATAAACGATAAGAAATGTGTGATCAGAAATGAAGATATATGCGCAACTCACGGATTATAAATAGTGAACGGATTCGGATACAACATTGCTGCAAATAATATCTACTCCTGCTCGTCACAGTCAGTGCTAGAGATTGGAGAACCTCAGCGCTTATCCTACTAGCACTAGCCAGATCGATCGAGTTGAGTTACGAGTTAGCAACAAGCAATCAAGCATGGCAACCATATCTGGGATGAGCAGCAGCAACAGAGTGTTGGGCAAGGCATTAGAGTCGCAAAACGGGCAAGCCTTTCAGCCGCCATGCCGCCTAAACAACCCCCTTTGGGTTTGGAAGAGGTCCAAAGGATTCCGCCCGGTGGCTGCCGCACCTGATAGCCTCTCAGAGAAAGTAGCGGAGAGCGTGAAAAATGCAGAGCAAACATGCGCCGACGACCCAGTTAGCGGAGAGTGCGTGGCAGCTTGGGATGAGGTGGAGGAGCTCAGCGCTGCTGCAAGCCACGCCAGGGACAGGCAAAAGGCTAACTCAGATCCTTTGGAGAATTACTGCAAGGATAACCCCGAGACCGACGAGTGCCGCACCTACGATAATTAAATTACATCTTTCATCTGTTGCGTTGCGTTGCGCTTGCTGGCTGGATAGATATACCCTTCCTTATTATGAACTACTACTACTTGATCTATCCTTGAATAACTTTTACTCTGTATGGTATGATTTCTCATTTTTTCTTCGATTTGTGGCTTCTCATCATTATTACTCCAAATACTTGGAACTTCTCTATGGCTATTTAGTATTTTGTTACCATTAAAGAAAAAACCATACTATATTTTGCACAACAATATGTATTATACTCCACATAAACACTAGTTTCAACTTCCATATAAACTAGAGTACAAAAAATTCACAACAGATCTGCATATAGGTGATCCCACAAGCCATAATTGATACAAGAACTGATGGTCCAAGAAAACAAGAGCTAATGCTATGCACAACATAAAACACCTAGACTGGAACACCACACCAGTAGACATCGGACCGTATCTTAAAGATAAAACTAACACACAAAAGCATAATGACAATGAAAGACTCGACAGTCTGAAAACCATGAACCACACAAGAGCTGCCTAGGCAGGTCAGATTAGTTGATAACATTAGAAGCACAAGATTTCAAAACTGGAGCATATCAGCGGATGCAACAATGGGTTGAGTTGGGCAAGGCAGCTGCCATGGCTCGAGCAAAACGTCTGGAATTTCAGGGATATCCACCACAGTCCCATTGACCTCTGCCCACAATTGAAGAAGGGAATTCATCGACTGCAAACGATCCGCCAGTTCAGCATATTGGGCTCTGAGAACATCATTCTCAGCAGAAAGCCTGGCAAGCCCTTCAGAGAGAGTTTCAATTTGCTGCTTACTAATACTCTGCTCATTCTGCAGCAGAGTCTTCTGGCTAAATAATTCATCAACATGCTGTTGCTTCTTCATCCGTGACCTCCTGGCAGATTCACGGTTTGATATCATCCTCTTCCTTTTCTTTTCATCATACATTGCATAACGCTGATCCAGATCAGAGGATGAACCTGAACTCGCTGGCTGTTGCACAGAAGACATCCCTTTGTCTCTTGTGTAGTCCCAAATCAAGACAGATTTTATTTCAAAATATGAGTGATTAAAGGTTTGAGAGAAATTATGAATGGCTCAGAAGTCTACCAATAAGTTTGAGAATGGAAATTAGGATTTTGCAGATAGCAGAATGGACGGCAGGAACACTAATGAGGGGGCAATTCATGAGAACACATAGAACCAGTAAAGAAATACAACAGAGAAAGAGTGGAGGATACGGATTCGACGCATTCGAAAAGATTTCATAAAGGAAACATGGAAAATTATTTGTAAAATTCTAAATCCCAATTCAGAAATCAAGCTGGTTTATCTAAGGTAAACTCTAGGTTGGTTTATATTCAATCAGGATGGCGAGAGCAGACTTTAACGATTAGATCTGCACATCAGGAAAAAAAAAAAAACAAAATAAATCAGCAATATCAACAATAGAATCGATCAGCAACATCAAAACTAATATAAATCAGCAACATCAACTTTGATATCAATAAGCGACACCAAAATCAAATATATCAGCGATATCAAAATTGCAGAAATCAGGTGCATCAAAATTAAGCTTATCAGCGACATCAAAATCAAGTATGTGGGCGACATCAAATCAAACTTAAAGAAAATAAATCGGCAACATCAAATAAAACTAAATGAGCAAAAATAAAACAGCAATAAAAAAACTCAAAATTAAATAATTAAAAAAATAAATAAAACTAAAACAGAAACCCTAGAAAGGCAGAAAAAAGAAGATAAAAAGAAGAGAAAAAGTCTCACCTTAGCAGTAGAGGCCGCCAATGAAACAGACGAAGGAAGGTTTGGATAGAGGGTGAGAGAGGGTATTTATAGGTGAAAGTGGAGGGGATTTCTGTATAGAGTTAGTGGGTGGGTGGGTGGCATTTCTTTATCCCGGTCTACGGATTTAAGAAACATTATTTAATTATATGGCGTAATTAAATTAAAGAGTGAGGTAAATATGCGGTGTGTCCTCAATGACACCTGAATTGAATTCATATATGGAAGGTTGTGAGTTCGAGTTTCAAAAATAAAGAGTGAAGTAAATATATCATTAATCATTCGTTAATTTTACTAAATCAAGCCTAGTGTATTTACTTGTTTTTTGCCAATATATTTTTGTAAAGAAAAAAAAAATCTTTACTTTTTGGAAACATTCATAATTAATTACTAGATAATATCTATTATATACTTTCTTAATAATTTATTAGAAAGTATCTATTATGGAGTATATTTTCTTAATATTTTTCAGTTTAAAAAAATTCTTCAAATATTCCGTATTATATTATCATTTATTATATTAGCAATATCTATATGGTAATTAGTGCCGGTGCCTAATGATGACAATTTGACAGCTAAGGCGTAAAAGGGCATTGCTTATGCGGGAGGAATCTTCCTTGGAATCTTCTTTTGGTCAATCTGTAATTTTCAAAAATAACGTGTCGGATTCAAGTAGTCACGCGGGTATGCCAGTTTATTTAAGGAGCAAATACCAATTTTAGTCTCATGAGTATGAGCAAAGTGACAATTTTGGTCCACATATTTAATTTTTTTTAATTTTCATCCACGACTATTATTTTAGTACTAATTTTCATCCACAACTATTATTTTAGTGTCAAATTTCATCATACTGATCACCCATTCATTTAAGACATGCTGAAATATGAAATTATTAAGGGTATTTTTGTCATTTTCAAATTAAGATCCTAATTTGAACATAAATAGAGGGATTTAAGCTCTAAGATCGGTCTCAATTCGCAATTATCCTCCTCAAATTAAGTTATGATGAGGAGGATAATTGCAAATTGAGATCGATCTTAGGGTTTAAATCTCTTTTATTCATGCTCAAATTTGGGATTTTAAGTTGAAAATGACAAAAATATCCTTAAAATTTTTTAGAAGGAGTGACTGTCGTGATGAATTTTGGCACTAAAACAATAGTCGTGGATGAAAATTTGTATTAAAACAATAGTCGTGGATGAAAATTGGTATGAATTAAACATGTGGATCAAAACTGACATTTTGCTAATACTTGTGAGACTATAATTGGTATTTGCTCTTTATTTAAGTGTAGTCCTGTTTTTTTTTTTTCTTTTTTTGGTACATTGACTCTACATTGCCAGCAACCACCTAATTTAGAAATGACAATGGAGCGGGACGGGGATGGAGATATATTCTCCATCTCTGTACCCGCATTTTTATCCCACTTCTTGTACATATACTCACACTTGTACGTGTAATGAAACTTTATTCCATTCTCGCGCAAGGAATTAACTTAAAAATTTCAATTGGAGTCAGTGTGATGTCAACATTATGACATACTGACTCCAATTGAAATTTGTAAATTTATTTTTACTATATCATTATAACAATATTTATTGTAACTATATATTTAAAATTATTTGTTATCGTCCTCTATTTACAGGAATTGTAACAATTGTCATTGACAAACTCTCAAAACAATTTGTCACAACAACGAATGGAAATTTAAAAAAAAAATCAATGAATTCATTATTGTTGATGAAAAGTATGTACGCCACTTTATTACTCCTATTAAATTAAATAAATTAGTAGCTACAACAAAAAATAATACATATGCATTTAATTAATTTAGAATTAGATGTCTATAATGTCTTTATTTAAAAAATAAATTATTCATTATACAAAATTTTGAAAAAGATATAATTTCATTAGTTATATTATCTTTATTTTCTACAATTCAAAGATTCACTACTTTCAAATTTTTAAATTTATTATATTTACTACATTGTCTACTTTCTACTTTTTACATTATCTTGTAATTAAATATCAAAGTTATTATAGAAAATATGTTATATATATTTATTTACCAAGTATTTTATACAAATATAATAAATATTAATATTTTGTTCAATACTTTCACACGATAACCTACGACACATCTCACAATGCATGAAACATGTAGGGAAAAAACTACTATTATCAAATATCAATAGGTGTTTGTACGATAAAGAGTTCATAGTGGTACAACTAAGATCCCACCATATACACAACAAGGCAAATATAAAGCTTCCTACATCATACTCTCATTGCACGATGAATCCCTCTATGCTACCACCAGTAACCCAACTACATATTATAAATTACCAATTAAAAAAAAAAAGACATGTACTGAAGATGAAGGCAATGGCAATGCTACCCAAAAGAGAATTAAGAAAAATTAGAGAAATTTAAAGCAAAAGTATTATTTATTTAAACTATCATTTTTAGACTAAGTATTTAGACTAGCGTTATTACAAAGTTGCAAACATTTATTTTAGTGACAATTATAATCAATCTTTCATATATTATATTGCATTTATATACTTTAAATTATTGATTTAAATAACCAAATTTAATATTTATTTACATATGCATGAACATCTCCTATACAATATTGCATTTTTTTTGTGGAGATAATATTGCATTGATATACTTTGAAATACTTAGTTAACAATAATCATTGGGCATTATCCCGTAAAAAAATTAGTTTTTAATTAAAATGCAATGATCTGATTTTATTTTTTTTAGTCAATTATGGATCATTTTTTATTTGCAGACAATTATTAATATTCATTTCCTTTTATATATTTAGTCAATTAGTGATATTAGATTCATTTTCAGTCAATTATTTTTTTTATTTCCAGATAATTAGTCAATTGGAACATAGATGCAGTGATATTTTTTTTTATCTAATTTCCGTTTCATTTTTATTTGATGATGTATAACATTATTATTGAAATATTTCCGTTTTATTTTTAATTTCCGTTCCATTTTTAATTTACCTTTACATTTTTTAAAAATATACATTTACTATTGACGATGTAGAATATTATTATTGAAATATTTCCTTTCAATTTTTAATTTTCTTTTAATTGATGAGATAAAATATTATTATTGAAATATTTTCGTTCCATTGTTTGAAATTGTGAAAGATTTATGATATAATTGTGATTTGATTTATTCTAATGTGTAATATTATTGTGAAAACTTAAAATGCAATAATTTGACCATTTCCTTTTCCATTTTAGTCCATGGATCATTTTTTTCAATTTTCAGTCAATTATTAATATTCATTTCATTTTTCAATTTTTAATTTTCAGTCAATTATTAATATTTAGTTTATTTTCCAAATTACATAATTGTCGTTCCATTTTTAATTGATGATGTAAAATATTATT